GGGTCTCTGTGTGTGTGTGTGTGTGTGTGTGTGTGTGTGTGTGTGTGTGTGTGTGTGTGTGTGTGTGTGTGTGTGTGTGTGTGTGTGTAGTGCTGTTTCTTTCTTTCAGATTTGAGGAATTTTCGCGACTTTCTTTTCGTTGGCAAAACAAATGAAGAGAAAGACACCTCTCGCTGAGATGTAACAATAAACAGTTGACAGAAACTTAAACAACATCACATATTCATCTTGTGTGTGTCTGATGATTTATCAATTAGTATAACAGATGATTGAGCTATTTTTGAATCAAATATACCTCTGAAATGTGAAGATTTGCTGCTGTTCTCTGTTTTAAAGGGGCCCTCTTATGCTAATGTTCAGGTAGTCGTATGTGTGGGAGAGACATTTTAGTCTTTGCAGACCATTTACATGCATTCAAACTTATATAACACTCTAAAGCAGGGGTGTCAAACTCAATTTCATCGCGGGCCACATTAGCATTATGGCATTATAGCATTATTCATTATTATTATATTAGCATTAGGCTACTCAAAGGGCCGGTTGTAAGTTTATAAATATATATAATATATATATGAAATAATGTATTACATTACATTATTGCCTCTGAATTTGATTATTATCGGATAGGGTAATAACTAACCACGTTTGAAAGCAGAAGTCCAGGGCAAATAATTGCAAGTCTCTTCAGTGCGCAAACGAGATGCATTGTGGGACATGTAGTTTGTGGGCAACCTGCTTCTGTAAAGTGGCATGTAACCGTATAATAAACGTATTATATTCTTTGCAAACTGTTGCGGGCCACATAAAATGAAGTCGCGGGCCAGATTTGGCCCCCGGGCCTTGAGTTTGACACCCCTGCACTAAAGGAAAGGGAAACCCCCCCAAAAGCACAATAGGGCCTCTTTAAATCAGTATAAAATTTATATATTTACATTTTTTTGCACAACGCAAGACAAATTCAGACAACATGTTGGATTCTGGGAAACCACCCTGATATATTTCAATTTTATTTTTGTAATTTTACTGGCGATTTATCGCTGGATTATCATCTCGAAACAGAACAAGCCTTACATGTATGTGATTTTTTAATTGTATTCTCCTCAGGTGCTGTCTCCTCCCTACTTCTGCTCCATCCTTTAGCCCTTCCTTCCTTCAACGTTGTCATGGGCAACCAGTGGAAAAGAGCCGAATACAGTAACACTATCACCTGATCGGAGGGGGGAATCCAGTAGGTGTGTGTGTGTGTGTGTGCGTTTGCCTATTATCATGCCTTTTTCCACGCCACGGCCCGAGAGCTACCACATGACATGACAACACACACACGCACACGCACACACACACACACACACGCACACACACACACACACACACACACACACACACACACACACCGGGTATAAATGAAGTGACTGTTGGCAGGCTCACAGCTAATTCAGCATGAATATTTAATCAACTGTAAACAAATTACTATAGCAGTGAGCGGTGCCAGTGTCTCTGCTGTGTGTGTGTGTGTGTGTGTGTGTGTGTGTGTGTGTGTGTGTGTGTGTGTGTTGTCTGCCCTTATCTGTGTCACTCTCTCCGCCCTTCTCC